TAACAGTAATATACTAATATCATAAGCCCTGTACATTTTGCGTTGTGTTTTCGGATTAACCCTGAAAATCAACTTGAGAATGAGACGGGTGAAAATCATGAGCACACACACAAAAATTTAACCTTTGAATGATCTAGAAAAACTTATTTATTTAACTATTAATGCCAATTAAATATATATATATCCATTAGTTAAAAAAAAATATCAAAATATATATTCAACAAAATTTGAACTATTGTTTTACACATTTTACATCCTTGTAATTACTATTAAATTTAATATTGCAAATCTGGTAAAACATACCAAAATAAACTATAAATTTAAGAACACTACCCTCCCCGGGGAGAAAATAATAAAAAAAAATTAACAAGCTACACTTTCTACTTCACACAGAATTCATCTATACAACAAAAATTATTGCTTAATATTGCACTCAATATAATCATTTAAATACTATTATTGCACATAATAATTTTTATTATTCAAATTTTTTTTCTTAGATTAATTAAATATGGTTTTAACCGGATAAAGATAAGTAATGACACATTTACTATTCTACAAACAAGTTCGTCCTGAGAAACAAGAATGCTCTAATACAAGCACTATTTCAAATCATCCTCACCAATGAGTAATTCAAAAAAAAAAAAAAAATTCAAAGTAAATAATTTCCTGAAGAACTTAATTTTCTTAACCATTAAGTTAAGTTACAATAATTTTAATAAGGTTATAAATCTTTATTCCATTTAATGCTTTTACTTGATTGATACACCAAGAAAATGATTTCTATAGAGTTAGGATAAAGTTATCAACTACAAAAAAAAATTTAGGGTTCAACAAATTAACAAATTAAGTTAATTCAATCATTTTAACTGCAGAAATCTATAATATTTTAACTAACCAAGAATTAACCAAAAAGAAAAAGGAACTTATCTGTTAAGGATCATCAAACAAAAGAAATCCATCGAAGCTCATGAGGAATGCTGGCAGCCTGTTGAATGAAAAAAAAAAAATGTTCGTCGAACATGTTTGGATTCATTACTGTAAGCCTAGAAGTTCTAGTAGATTTTAGGATGAACAATTGAGGTTTCCAATTCGGCAAGATAAGTGAAATACAGTGCTGGCGGCCTGTTGAATGGAAAAAAAAATGTTCGTAGAACAGTATGGATTCATTACGGTAGCCTTGAAGTTCTAGTAGATTTTAGGATGAGCGAATGAGGTTCCAAAAGCAACGGTTTTAAATTATTCAGTATGGTAGCCTTGAAGTTCTAGTGGAATTTAGGATGAGCAAATGAGGTTCCCAAAAACAACGGTTTTAAATTAACGCTCTGGTCTCGAGTGAAGCGACGAATCAATGGTGCACATCATTTTTCTAGAAATTTACTTCTGTATATTTTCCTTGAGATACACAAACACACACAACAAAAACTGATGAAAGAATTTCGATTTTTTTTTTTTTTTTTTTTTTTTTTTTTTTTTTTTTTTTTGAAGACATAGATGCCCATACCTACGGCCCGCGCTCACAGCGCTTAGCCAAGAGGCCCGTAGGCCTATCGGGGAGAAGCTCCATTTTCTTCTCGTCGGAGTCACTGTCGCCTCCGCCAATTCAAAGGGCAAAAGAAGTAAAGTGCAAAAAGTGTCAAAAGTGAGCTCGTCCCTAAAACAACCCGTTAAAAGGAGAGCGCCGGACTGCCAAGTTGGCGCAACCCATTTTTTCGCCGACCGAAAGTTGAAATAGTTGCAACCACAGCATACCCTCATGTTATCAAACTCGCCAAAACCACTATTTTGAAACCTCAACGGAAAATCCAAGTCGCCAAACCGCTCGCCAAATAACTGCCACCTGCGGACCGGGGGAGATTAGGAATTTCAACAACCCTTTAAGCAAGGGTCCCAACGAAAGAACGCTGAAAACTCGCAAAAAAGCGACAGTGACTTTTCAACCGGAAAGAAGGCATTTCATCCCCCACTTTAACTAAATCACAAGCGAAACGGAAGAAAAATCTACTAATTAAAGCTCATAACTGAAATGCAATTAAAGTTAGAAAAATGAAAGTTATGCAAATTAAAGAGCTAATTTTTCTGCAACTAATGATATTAAATACTAAGAAATCAAATTAATTTTTGACATGAAAAACTGAGTTTATTACGCAGAAACAAAAATACTTATCCATTGTTTGCATGTACAAGATTGAAGACGCAGTTCGCGTAAACTCGGAAAGCCAAAATTTATTACACTAGAATTAATAGGCCCAAAAAGAATATAACCAAACTTGTGTAGCTCAAATTTTGAATAATTACAACTTTAAAATTTTGATTTTTATTAATCACTTAATTAAATTAAATTCGCTACACAACAGTGTCCCATATGCTTATTACTGCCCTGTCCTATGGTAAAATGTTTTTAAATACAGCTTTGAAGTAAATCCAACTTGATATTCGTCGTGTTTGAACAAGAAAATTTTTGCTTGGTACACGATATTTATTTTCGAGAGAAATGCTAAAACTGATCATGAGCGTTACTAGTCCTGCTGCTACTATTCAGTAAACAATCTGTACTATTAAAATCTAAATTCTCACGCAACTGTGTTTTTTGAGTAAATCTTTTGTAAATTTCTTAACAATTAGGTTTAAGAAGGTTTATGACAAGAATCAAACAATGAACAAAATGGTTAAGATGTTTTTTTTATGAAAGAGATTGTTGAAAGGTCTGAAGATGGTATGCATATCTGGGATGCAGTCATTACCTACCGTATGCCGAGAACGACGATATCTATGATTGTGAAAAAAAACGACACTATTAATTTGGCTAATACTACGAAGGAGATGAAACTGATTACCAAACAAAGATCAGAAAATAGGTTCTGGCAAAGAATGTTTATGAACATAATTCTACCAACTGATATGGCTTTACTGTGGCCACACCGGACATCTCTCCCTTCTAAATTGGTGGCCTTGCTAGTGTTTGTTTACATTTTGCAATGAAAGATTTCGATCTTTTTACAATTTCGGAACATGCATTATAATATTTTTGCAATCGCCTCAATCTACTTTGTTTTAGCCCAGAATTTAAAATATAAAACTTTTTAATGTCATATGTCCCCTTAAAGCAATTCCCAATAAAGGAATTCGTAACTAATTTTTGCATGAACTCTTTTTAAAGGTATGGTTTCCGTCATCTGCCACTTTATATTTTTCAGTATAATATTACAGCATACAGCATAATCATAATACAAATAATTGCCTATAATTAACTTATAGGTAACAAATAGATTTAGAATATGAACCAAATGCTTTGAAAAAATGGCTTATTCGATTTATATTTAATTATTTTTTGTTTAAATTTTCCGAAACAAAATAATAAATTCTAATTGCAAAAAAGTTCAGTTTTAGATAATGTGAAAGCTGCGCTTCATGCATTGATGTAATGTTTTAATATATGGTTCAAAATCGCTTAGTTTAATGTTTAAATCATCTCGTGCAAAAATATTCAACCTGCTTCTTTTGTTTTTCCATTTAGTTTTGTGTTCTTCATATTTTTTTTGATTGTGTTTTCTTGTGTTCTTCAGTTTTACTTTTTTTATATTTTGTTTACTGCCTAACAGATTTATATATTTACAAAAAATATTATTGATTTTTAAAGTATATTAAATAATTTCACTGTTTTGTTCTCTTTATATTTATTTTACATGATTTCTTCTTTAGTACATGAAACAGCTTTATATCAATAAACAACTAATTATCAATTTTTAGTCCAAAGGAGCAATTTGCCCTGATGGACTATTAATTTCGTTTTGGCATTTTGCGTCGAAAACTTTATAAAGTTGTATCACTTTTCAAATAATTGCCACCATATGTTATCGCACTGTCTTATATTTAAAGAAATTAAATAATAAAGAATCTGCATAAATGTATGTATGTTTCTCGCATTGTGAACGATGCATAGAGCCATCCAATTTTAAATGACTAATCCTACTGCGAATATGGATATCTGGAAGCCCAAATTTGAAATTTGGAGTTTGGTTTTATTATTGATTTCATATTTTGTAATACGTCAACGAGTTTTTGATTAAAAAACTAAACGATTTCAAAGCGAGGAGTGGCAACACTGTACGAAAAAAAAAGTTTTTATCTCCAGAGCGCGATACTCTGTATCGGAAAATCTTAATATATGCTCATTTTAAAATTAATTTGCGATATTGCTGTTGAACTGAATTTTATAGTTTGAGTACGTAGAACATGATATTTAATAAATAAATGTAACATACAAAACGTTAAAGAAACGCTTCTTTGGACGTAATTTAAAATCTGAAACCTTTCAGATTTTTTTGTCTTTCTTTTTTTTATTAGTAATCTTTTTTGTAATCACTAGGATTTTGATTACGTTGATCAGAGTCGTCCCAGCCACTACGCCCCGAACATATTCGGCTACACCTTGATCATCACTGACCTCCTTTAAAATTTCATCGATCCTCAAGGATGGATAACTACTTTATTGGGAACCCCTGTTTTAAAGAAAGGTGATGTTATTTTGCCTTGGGAGTGGAAGGTTCTTTTAAATTATTCTTTAGTTAACCAAATTAAATAACATTCTTTAGTAGTCGAAGTATGGAAATGTTTTTATTTAGTTAATTGTGCAAATAACGTAAATATTATTTCGTAAGTATAAAAAATTAATTCGCATTTGTTTGTTAATTTCCTTTTTTTTTTACAGTTGTATATAAAAGGTATTAGATTTCACATTAAAATTAAATTAAAGAGCGATAAAGACATGCTAGCATAGCCAAAATAATAGTACTTATAGCATTTTATTAATCAATAGTGAACAAATAAAAGTTATAGTGGCTGCTCTATTAAAGTCGCAGAAAAGGTTTTATACGGCATTGTACAGTATGTTGCAGAATATAAACTTATAAGAAAAATATTCTTTGATATTGGCTGTATTTTTCACCAACCAGTACTTGAAAGAAAATCTGCTTTATTAAATTTATTATTTTTTTCAGGTGTTCGCTTGATTCTGTTGCTGACAGTTACTGATAAAGATGAACCTCCTGGTACAATACATCATAGTTGCTGTTGCATTTTTTATTAGTGTGTTTTCCTTCGATATTTCAATGAAAGGTGATGCATGCTCGACTTTCGATCAGTGCAGTGTCACTAACCTGTTTAGAACTTGTAGTTGTGATTCTGATTGCCATATATATGGAACATGTTGCATCGATGCAGAACAGTTTCCTCTAGTGTCCACAACTGAGCAACACTTCCAGTGTAAATCCGACAGAATAACAACTCCCGTCTTCGCCAAGAGGGCATGCGCGGAGAATTATGCAGGCAGTACTGACGACAAGCATCGGTGCACTGAAACAGAAGAGGAGGATAAAGCTGATATTATACCAAATTGGATGGTTACTAATACAAGGACAGGAGTGACATACTGGAATAAACAATGCGCTCTTTGTAATAACGAAAAAGAGGATGATTTAGAATACTGGACATTACAAGTTACTTGCCCATCCAAGCACGGCGGGAAGAAGTTTGATGAGAACTACATTAAGAAACATTTATTATTCGACTTGAAAGAAGATGAATGGGGCTTGTGGGTAGAGGAAGATTTTATACCATGTTTCATCCGATTCTTTCAACCAGGTGATATGGCAGGAAAGTTAGAATACTGTGCTTCGAACATGATATCTGCATGTCCACATAATTATACGAATGAAGACGTAATTCGTAAGTGCTCCAACTATTATGGAGAAAGGAAAGAGAAGAATTCAGACGTATATTATAAAAATGTTCATTGTGCTTTGTGCAATGGAAAAACGTTGAAAGAATTGGACTGCGCTGGTCGCAATTACAAGCCTACTGGACTGATATCTGGTTACGATATAATACGAATTACTTTTGGATCAGGCCGTTGGCTGAACAAGGAGGGTGTTGAAAAGTACAAATGCAGTAAAACTTTCTACTACGATCCATTTCTCAAGCGATGCAGGCGATTGTATGACTCATTAAGCAGTATGGAAGATGAAACTACAAATGCTGCCCAAACTGTTGCTGTTCATGCATTTATATACATATCAATTTTCTTTATTAATAAATTTTTGTTATGTTTTTTCCTATAGATTTAGCAAAAAAAAAGTAAAACTTTCTATGTATTACATGTTTCAGAATTGATGCAGAAGATAATGTGGTTCATTAAGCTGCACGGAAGATGAAGCAGTGAATTCTCCCTAAACTCTTACTGTTAAAATATTTTCAGTTCTTTTGTAAATAAATATTTTTAACTTTATCTTTGAGATAAATTTAAATTTAGTTAGGAGTGAAATTTATAACTCTAGGAATTCAGAATGCTCTGAAAGTAAATAACCAATTAGTGAATATCTTTTAGTTTTATCAATAAACAAGATACATTTTTTTGTTTTTAATAATACAAAAGCGAAACAATAACTGAATTTTTAAATTAGGAATCTAGGCTGTGCTTAAGCTTTGCTGTCAGATCTGCACCAGACTCCATGCAGTGATTTAATAAAAAATAATAATCACAGTTAAAAAAAAGACTTTGAGAGCCTGTACGATTTTCAATGTTACGTAATGTGAAGATTCCCTAATAAATATGAGAAATTCTGTGAAACTTAATAGAAGATAAAATATAAAGAATTATAATGATTTTGCACAACTGTAAGTAATATTAATATTGCAGATAAACATAGCAAGAAACACAATAAATTGCATACAGAAGTTTTATTTTTATAGATTTTTTATACTGCAGTTCACATATCTAACATTTAAAGATTTTATCTGACAAATTTCTTGTCATAGTTTTGATCACCAATGTCTGTTACTTACCTCCCGTTTGAATATTGAATAGTGGTAGACAATATACGATACTGAGTGCGTATGATACTTTATGCAACTTAAAGGTTTGGTATTATAAATATCACTGGCCAAGAACATTTTCTGGAACTGATCAGTAAAACTCAATTGAAATCCGATAATATTCAGAATATTTTCAATAGATAAACGTCTAATAAATGTAATAACCTAGCATTCGGCAAACTTAAAGAACCAATTATTCGGTAAACAGAAGGATGGGTAAAGTATGTGGAAAACAAAAGAAACAAGCATCATATAAATGTACCAGTTTTTACTTTAGGTCCGTTTACTGGATGTACCAAGTATCCAGTAAACGGACATAAAGTAACTAAAATATCCAAAATCAATTATATTAAACAAAGTTTACAAGACGATTAAAATAACGAACTGTTGATTTCAATGAACTGATGATATTTTTCCAACTCATTTCTTTAAGCGGAAGCCAATCTGACATCGATGATAATTACAAGAGATGTAATAACTGAGAGCACCATAGCATGATGCTCCAGTCTAATCACATTACATTCTCTCATATACAGAGGACTATTTGTTTCACTCATCCTTCTCCATATATATGCAGGTGGGGTCCTGGTTACATTAATAAGTTACGAAAAATTTTCACTCTAATATCGCCGATATTATATTGCTTTCTAAGACGCTTTATATCTCTTCGCCACTATAATTCATAATGGCTTCAAAGGGGGATAATCAAAGAAACATTTATTATTGTTCAAGTTAATATATTTACGTCAAGTAATGCCTTATCTGTTATCTTGAAATCCCGGTTATCACCTAAATGCACAAAGCCCAGATCTACGGCTCCAGATTTAAGAAATCTCTAAAATCATTCTATGATTTACCACAATGTATACTTTTCCTTTTTAAATATAAGGAATGTAATCTTTGAGTTTGGTGGTTGGGGTTAGACGGTGACTTTGAAGCAGATTTTGAGTGTAAAATTATCTCAACCAGACCCGGTAATTCTGCTGTATTTCCCACAATCGGCGTATCTGACCCTTTCCATCGTTCTAAGTTACACTAAATTCTGTATTAGTACAAATTACAAAACTTAAAAATTGCAATATAAACGTTAAATATTCATAAACACTACATGAATAATGCGATTGTTTTCTGAAAACAATTTGCTACGATTTTATGATGTAGCCTTAACAAGAATAGGAGGCTGAAAGCAGTCTGCCAAAAATTACCTTTGGAATGATTCTAAATCAAAGTTAAGAACAGCGTGATAAATTATTATTCCCATAGTCGGACATTCTATCGCAATTAAGCTTTTGATATATAGTAAGCCATACAATCCATTTCATGGTTAGATTAGCAATCAAGAGTTTGGAAAATTCTTAGCCGGAGTGTGCATTTAGATTGTTGTTCCATTTATGGTATGCTACTAAAGAGAGGATTGGCTACACGGGCATCCGACTAATGAGCACTTAAGAATTATCTGTTCAGACATATGAGTGAGTTAGGAATAAATCACATGAACGGCATAACTCAGTCATGTCAGGCACATGAATGTGCGTTAGGAATGCCGTCGTTTGTACAGAGGCTGTTCACACATTTTTTAGACGATGTATATTGTATTCACAAAACTAAATTACATAAAATTCTTGTGTTTTAAATGTTCTATTTGACATCTCTTATTCTGAACTATCTTTCGACACCGCAATTTCCAGGATAATAATGCCTTTTGAAGTGGCAAAAGATTCTATCCCATTCCTCCCGAACAGCTTTCCAGAGTCCTGTTAGGGTTTGGGGACAACGTTTGGATAATGCAGTTTTTAAAAGTCCAAAAGCACAAAAATCCATAGGTGACACATTGGGAGATCTAGTAGGGATATCAGTGAAGGGTATGGCCTTGCTACCAGTTTTTTGTTCCATTTCTTTTAGGAAATTTACAATGGATTTGGATGTGTGTGACTGCTAGCTTTGTCCTGATAGAGTCTCACAGATTGATGGCACTGTGGGTAAAGTGATGGTATTTCATTCAGAAAAATTGGCGATAAAATATGTTCCTGATAGTATTTGAAGTCAATCTTGACATTTTTTGCACTCTCTTCATTTTTAACTTGCCATTATAAGAAAAATCAGCAACAATCATGAATCCCTTAGAAAAACTTTCTTTCGATTCTTTGAACCGTGTACTTGAAATTTTTCTCCACTTTTATGATAATAAATGGCTCTTTTTTTGTTACAATCATTTAAATACACCCATGCTTCATCTATTGTGACAATTGTTTTCCATTTTACTTTGGATAAGTGTTTCTCATATAGAATTCTGCAGCGTGTCCTGCGTTGAGCGATATGCTTTGGAAGAAGACGATGCACATTGCGTTTTTTCGCTTTCTTAAGATTTAGACCAACGTTTATCATTTGTTTACAGTGGACACCGAGCATTTTAATGATTTTGCAACTGTCCTTTGACTAAAGGGATTTTCCTTTAACATTAAACAACGTACCTTTGTAATAATCGAAGATGTCCGTTTTTTCCTTGCATACTTGTTTGGAATTTTTGTCCCACTTTGAGGCTCCAATTTGACGTTTTTTTTTTCCTTTCATTGTTGATGATATTACCTATCGACGCTTTAGATATCACAAAACCATGACTCTCACATTGTTTTTGGATAACGGAGTATGCATATTTCTCTTCGGAAAGAGCGTAAATGTAGCCTTCGAACCACTGCTTTGTCAAATTTGCCATTTTGAATAAAAACAAAACTTTCAAGCCACAGACGATAATTTTGACTTTTAAAAACATAGTACAATTGCAATTACTTCTTCTGAAGCAAACTATTTTTTATTACCGCTTACCAAAATCGTCTAAAAATGTGCGAACAGCCTCTGTACAGTTCACACATATCATTATACAATCAATTAGCAAACATGATTATTTTTCTTTACTAATATTATCCTTTTTGAAATAAAATGCGATACACGAAAAAATAAAAATTCTCAACCACACCTATATGAGGAAGGACCAGCTACAGAAATCATCCTGTTTTTGGAAGCAGGAATTATGGTAACTTACTGCTCGCTCGCGGTCATTTGAACAAACAACTCTCCAAATATTAGCTTACATGGTTAAATTACATATTTAGGCCCTGTGATATGCCTTTTTTCTAATTGGTTGGCTAATACGAAGCTGAGGACATCGAGCCGAACGTTTTCATCATTATCGTAAAATATTGGAACTAGAACCTTGTCTTTCGGATTATTTCTTCTTTCTTTGAAAAGTCATCCTTATTCAGGCATGCGTCTCAGCAATCCGGCTCTGCTTAGTCTTTTCCCTTGGATGAAGAATACTGTTACAAACCTAGTGACACAGATGAACTTTGCTAACATCTTCGAGATCTTAGTTTTCTTTAGGTTGTGAATGAGTGCTATCTCCAGCACGTCCATCTCCACTACTGTATTTTATCAGGCAATAGGTATTTTCCACTGGAGAGGCAACAGATTCTGTTTGGTTTATCAGCGAGGCTAGATAATATCTCAGTGATAGATACATTTACAAAAAAGTTGCTGATTTTGTTTTGAGTCTATAAACATGCTACGTGTTTTAGAGAAAAAGATAGAACATCACTGTTAATTTTCGTTTGCCAATGCAAGTGACAAAAATCTTCTGGATACTCGGCAAAAACTTCCCACTGAGGTGATTAAATAGAATTCAAAGATGTATTGCGACTAGCTGGATATTTAGACAGTGCTTGCTTGAGTTTGCTAATAGCTATACAAATTCATAGCTTCTTCTCCCAATGAGACTATTCCTAGAATGAAGTTTCTCTCATTCAGCAGCGAGAGATTTACCAGCTACCGATTGGCAAGCCTACTCATTAGTTGTATTTCTGTCCTAGTTCGAATCCCGGGATTGGACTGGCTACATGAGAGTTTCTGCGGTTTTCCTTAGTGGAACGAGAATATGAGCCAGTCTCTTTTAGAAAGTCTTCTCGCGCGGGCTTATGTTTTGCCATAAACCAAATAAGCCAGTCCTTGCATTCGAAAGATTCTACTGTTTTAGGCTAACATGAAGACTTCCGATAGGAAAGCTGTAATAGCTCATGGTTTTCAGTTTGACTGCAATATCTAAACTCTACAACAAATTTCGTTTAGACTCAAGTAATACGTTTTATTTAAAGTAATCGTGTATGTTTTATTTTAGATTTACCCCTGCATTTCAATTAGGCTCTTTTTTTTTTTTTTTTTTTTTTTTTTTTTTCACTACTGTATCAGATGAAAAGCAGTAGAATAAAAACTGATTTCATAAACTACGAGGATATTTGTATCATTATCATGAACTTTCAGATGTTACTTCCGATGTGAAAAACAACTTCCTCTTCCGTCTTTTGTAGTGGTATTTGCTTTGCTCAGGCAACAGAGTGAGAAACGGACACTTATATTGAGCATGTTATTTTGGCCTAAATTAATTAACGTTTTTAAAATAAGAAAATTGTCACTATTGCTCCTGTTATGAGAATGGACTGACATTTATTTTGGTGGTTGGGCTTGTACAAGGGAGAATTCTGAAGGTATTCAGTATATTTAAGTAATTATGATATTTATTTCAAAATGTAGTTCTATTTATCCGGACTCTAGACTTTCCAAATCCAGTTATCTGAGTGTTATTCATCTTGTTCTTCGAGCAAGTAAAAGTAAAGTATTCATTTGCGCTGAAAGCAGCGATTTTTTATAACTTTATGACATGATGAGCCTAATCTGTTTAGTTTCTGTAATGATTAAAATATGAGTTTCAGCCTAATAATAGTCATAATAATAATAATAATCAAGAAATGTCAAAGTACAAATCAAAGGTGATGGCAATGAAATGATTTTGTTATGTAAATAAAGGGTTCTTCCTTTGTAAAAACAAAATTATGGTAATTTTAACTTATTCAAATTAAAAATATTTTTTACTATTACTGTAAAATTATACGCATCGTCATTTTTTATGCTTTTTAAAATTTATTATTAGTTTCAGAATTCTACATGTAATCTCATTTCACTAACATTTATTTTAATTCCTTAGAAGTAATTATTTATTCCGCGTTTGATGTTAAATTAGGTATGAAACATGCTCGCCCGTTACCAAATATTTCTCTATGAATAAGTTTCATTAATAAAAATATAATTACTTTGGTATTGTTAGCAAATTGTGCATCAAACCAATCTTATGTAAAAAGATAGATACGTTATTATAGCATCGTAAAGCACACTAGGGATATCTGTCAAAGAGAAGGAGTTTTTTGTGGAGGACCTTTCTGAAGGAAACTGGCTCTCATTTGCTTTATACATAGAGAGAATCATGATTTAAATATATATACAATTTTTATATATACAATTTTTATACAATTTTTATATACAATTTTTATACAAGGTTTCACTCATTACTTTTATTAGTACAAAATTGCATGCTCATTACGGATTTTTTTTGTTTGTTTCAGAAAATAAAGTAACATTTTTAATTTATATATTTGACCATTTGACTCTGACACTTTTTGGTGAAATTTTGTTTATAACTTTATGCAGATTTGTAAGGTTACGTTTACCCTGAAGGAATATTTATGGATTTATCTTCTAGTCATAATAAAAACATTAAAGATGATTAATCTGTAATGTAAATGATATTTATTAAATATAAGTACACATAAAGGAAATACCAAGTCTAAGTTTTTAAAAGTATTGTTTGGAAAGAAGTGTTTCACCGCCATGATCCCCCTTTCCTTTTTTATAAGAGTGAAACTTTCATTTCACTGAAATTATTTATTGTTCATTAATAAATGTCATATTAAATGAGAAAGAGACATTTTTTAAATGAAATATCAGTATAACTTAAAATGGTAATTTGCAACAGAGGAAAAAAAATCTGACGTAAACACCACATGACTTTATTGTACGGCGTGTTAAATTATGCATATTTTTTGCCGTACTTGATTTAAACTTATTTCTTCGAACTTCATTAGAGGTAGATTTCTTGTTCAGTCAATTCAGTTCTCAATTTCCCGCAAAGCAAAAATGCATGAAAACGCAAAACATCCTTATTAAATATTTCAAAATACAGAAAAACCTAAAACACCAATCACAGTTAGAAAAAATATTTTGCAATTAAAATTAGACTTTGTACACAGAAACAAGAAATTCGGTCAACGGAAAGGAAGTATAAATGTTCAGCACCAAATGACTATTCTAGTAAGAGTTTCAAATGTAAAACAATAGTGACCTTGTTAGGTCTAGCGTAATGTAATTATTGATAATTTTACAATTATTACATGCAGATTAATCAAAGCTCTAAACTCTTAACTGAAAACATAAGAACAATATAATTAAATCACTTTTAAGGCAAAGTATGCGCGATTTACCAACATAAGAATAAAATCGCAGAGCTCACAGAGCCAGGCAAGAGAATATATATATTTTGGTGCGGTTAATTGCGTATAGATGTCACGTCTAAAAGAATTTGAGAGCGTTCAAAATGAATATTTTCGTTGAAAAATAACACCCGAAATTGTTCGCGATTACAATACTTCGTTTACTTTTACAAGGAAGTAAAAAAAATGGAAACTGTAAAAACGAAACAACCATATCCAATCTTTCCGCCAAAAATGTGTTACGCTTTTTTTTTGGGGGGGGGGAGAATCAATCTCTCATTCTGCAAAAAAAGTTATGTTTTATTAGCCCAAAGGGGCAATTTGCCCAGAAGGGGTATTAATTTCGTTTCGGCATTTTGCGTCAGTTCACTATAAATGTCAGTTCACTTTCAATATTGTTGCCACCAAATATTAGAGCCCCTTATATTTAAAGAAATTAAGTATTGAAGAATCTGTATGAATGTATGTATGTTTCTCGCACTCTGAAAAAAAAAAAAAAAAAAAAGGATACCTAGAGCCATCAAATTTTGAATAAAGTAGTTCTCCATTCGAATATGGGCATCTGGGAGCCCAAATTTGGAATTTGGATTTTTTTTAGTACCTATCTCATATTTTGTCAAATATTAAACAATTTTTTATGAACAAACTCAACGATTTCAAAGCGAGCAATGAAATCCTGTACAGGGGTAAACATATTTTTATCTCCAGCACGCGAGAACGTGTATCGAAAATTATCAAGATATGCTTTTTAAAATATTCTGTGATATTGCCGTTGACTTGAATTTTATGGTTTAATTGCGAAGAACATGATATTGAATAAGTAAAGGTAACAGACCAAACGTTACAAACATCCTTTTGAGCGTAATATAAAATGTAAAAGCTTTCAGTTTTTTTTTTTTTTTTTTTTTTTTTTTTCCATAATATTTTTTTTTTTCACTTTCTGCTCCTAAGCTTTTGTTGAAATAAGGTAGGATGAACGTATTACTAAAATTCACTCATTTGCAGTTAAGTAGCTACACTGAATTGGCATTAACTTCGTTTTGGCATAACCTCCTTTAGCTTAATAGCCGACATTCACGATAAATGTTGGTTAACTTTTCAAAATGTTGCCACTTTACTGTATTATATTTAAAGAAATTAAATAATGAAGCATCTGCGCAACTGTATGTATATTTCTCCCATTGCGATAAAACAACAGTACCTAGAGCCATCAAATTTTGAATAACGTAATCCTCCATCGAATATGGTTATCTGGAACTCCTCATTTGGAATTTGGTTTATTATCCATTTCATATTTTGTAAAACTTTAACGAATTTTTGATTAAATTGAACGATTTCAAAGGGAGCAATGGCAACACTGTACGATAAAAAATAACATTTTTATCTTCAGCGTGCGAGACTGTGTACTGGAAATTCTAAAGATATGCTCAATTTAAAATTACTTTAACGCTGTTGAATTGAATTTTATGGTTTAAGTGTGAGGAACATGATATTTAATAAATAAAGGTAACAAACAAAACGTTAAAAACGCCCCTATAGGCGTAATGTAAAATCTGATAGCTTTCGGATTATTTATTTATTTATTTTTTAAATATCTGGATCAACAATAATCGCAATTATCCAAATTTGGCTAATGTTTCATCTACTGTAATCCTCGCTATCTGCATTTTTCTAATATCTTGATTGGCTATCATCTTTATTTTGCATATTAGATGATCCACGCTAGGTCAGTTGTAAGACAACCGATTTTCAAATGCGTGAAAAGTCATCGTGTACGAGCTAAAACATCTACTCAGATAATGTCTGACGTACCATCGTCTAGAGTCGTTCCGTCAAAAGTTTTCTCCAAGGTTGGAATTGACTATGCCGGGCCATTTCAAGTGCCGGCCTGTCAGAGTCGAGGAGTAAAACCAATGAAATGCTACATTTGTATATTCGTGTATTTTACTACAAGAACTATACATATTGAATTAGTAGGTAATCTAACATCAGAATCATTTATTGCCGCTTTGAAAAGCTGTATATCTCGAAGAGCAAAACCAATGGAAGTTTTTCCTAGCTCAGATAATATTCTCCGTATCGTGAAGCTCAAAACTGTTTTCAAAAGGCCAATTCACAAACTTAGCGTTTTGCCTATCAGTGATTAAGTTTTTTTTCTAAAGCATTATAACGTTGTACTTTGCTTTAAATATAATTAAGTTCCTGAATAGTATGAAGGCTTTTTTGCATCTGTTTTGAGAACAATTTAGTTTCATTTCATAATTTCATATTATGTTTTCTTGTGAATATTTTAATGACACATTTTTGCATAATTTAATATTGTTATGATAATTTCATTTTGTAAAAGCTATTTAGATTTGAAACGATGTTTCAACGCCGAGCGGAATGTTTCGGCCACCAGAGCTCTCTGCCTGTCTGTGAGGTATTATTTCTCAATGCGCAGCTCGCATTTTGTTCTTGCAAACGCTAATTGTAACTTTCTCGCTTTAGTTTGTGCTGTGTTGTGTTCTAAAGTTGAAACTGCTGAAAAGTGACACGGACGCAAAAGTGAGGTTTGAGACTAATAGGAGCTCTGGTGTCGGGGCAAAAAAATAAAAAAAATTCCTCAGGGCGTAAGCCCTCAAAATCTGTGCCTATGGCACAACCTCATTTGGACGAATTCTTGGCTCTGTCACTTTAACCTGATTAGGACGTCTGTCACTTTAACCTGATTAGGACGAATTCTTGGTTCTGTCTGCGAAGTTTTATTAATGAAAGCTGAGTAACGAAAAACATTAAATTAATCCTTTTAGGAGTATTTGAGAATTTATTCTCTGTCAAAGATTGCCATAAAACACCCCTGAAAATCATTTGTTTCCTACTAAAGTGTTCATAACTCGACATACTGTACCTCACCCCAGAATTTATGCTTAGATGTATCGTTCTCGAACCGATTTATTAGTGAACAGGCGCGTTCATGACCAAATCAAATCCTTTAGCATTTTACACAAGTCCATAACTGAGAGGCTCCACTGATTTTAATACTCAAAAAATTTGTGCACTATGGCTGCCATCTATGAACAGATATCTGAACAAATGTTTCTCGCTAAATACTTTTCCTCAAATACTTGTGCTGCCATCTATCGATAAAATGTTGAATTCTTCAATGGATTGGCAATCTGATC